AAGGTCAGGTCTGCAAAGGACGGAAGATCTCATCAGTGCATTTGGAACAGATGACCCAGACTGAAATCTGTAAGCAGGTGGGTTTTAACAGCTGCAGCATAACTGACCCGTCTGTAGTATGAGTACTAAGAGGTGTGTTAATCTTTTAAGTATTTTTGAGTGAACAGTTACCACGCAATAAGTTGACCTGCACAATATCACTTTTTATAATTCAGGACATGGTTTTTTTAAATTGACGTATAGTTGAGATAAAGTATTGTTTCAGGTGTACAACATAGTGATTCAATATTTATAAACCTTATGAAATGATCACCACAGGAAATCACCGTACATAGTTAGGAAACGGATTTTTATTTTTTGCCAAAGCCTCTAGAAATTAAATTTTCTACTAAATTGCCTTATTTTGTTCATTTATGTATTTTTAATGTAATATCTACTAAATTGCCTTATTTTGTTCATTTATGTATTTTTAATGTAATATGCCTGAAAGTAGAATTTCTTTTCAAGTAGTTATATTTTGCTTGAAATGTTAATTTTTATTGCATGTAATATTATATTTAAAATCGTCTTTCTTGAAATATTAATTTTTATTGCATGTAACATTATATTTAAACCTTTTTTCTTGAAACATTGTTTATTTTTTTTTTAAATATATATTTTATTGATTTTTTTTACAGAGAGGAAGGGAGAGGATAAAGAGCTAGAAACATCGATGAGAGAGAAACAACAATCAGCTGCCTCCTGCACACCTATTGGGGATGTGCCTGCAACCAAGGTACATGCCCCCGACCAGAATCGAACCTGGGACCTTTCAGTCCGCAGGCCGACGCTTTATCCACTGAGCCAAACTGGTTAGGGCGAAACATTGTTTATTGCCTACATTATATTTAAAATCAATTTTCTTGAAAATAAATAACTAAAATTTAGGATAGTGACCCTTTAAAAAAAAAAGTGATATTTTGGAACACAAGATAATCTAGTGCAGTGGTCGGCAAACTGCGGCTCGAGAGCCACATGTGGCTCTTTGGCCCCTTGAGTGTGGCCACGAAGTTTCAATAGCACTGTATGTGCACGCCCGCACGTGGTATTTTGTGGAAGAGCCACACTCAAGGGGCCGCAGTTTGCCGACCACTGATCTAGTGCATTCTTTAGGCAAAGCTCAAATTTCAGTAGCTAGAGAGGATGAAATTTAATTTTCTCCTTAGTTATTCTTGTGGTTAGTTAACAAATAGTATGTAATAAAGACATTGCTTTCTTAAATTTGGTGGGATTTCTTTTTTTTTTTTTTAGATTTTGACTAAAGGGGAGGTTCAAGTATCAGATAAAGAACGGCACACACAGCTGGAGCAAATGTTTAGGGACATTGCAACTATTGTAGCTGACAAATGTGTGAACCCTGAAACAAAGAGACCATACACTGTTATCCTTATCGAGAGAGCAATGAAGGACATCCACTATTCAGTCAACACCAACAAGAGTACAAAACAGCAGGTTAGTGGTTTTTAATGTCATTAAAAAGTATCCATGAAAATCAGTTTTCTCTGAAGAAATCATCAAAATAATTGGTCTGTAATAATAAACTGATACTACTTGAAAGCAAGATTTGGGGGGAGGGGAATGAAAGGATCTATATTGTAAAGAAGAGAAATGGAATGCTTTTTAACTACATACAAATATACATAGGACTCTCATCTTCCTATCCAAATCAAACCTTTAAAGATAAAACTTGGATTTCTAAAGAGTCTTTGTAACGCTTTAGATTTTTTTAAAACACATAATTCACATACCATAAAAGTCACCCTTTTAAAGTGTACACGTCATTGGTATATTCACAAAGTTTTGCAACCTTTCTTACTACCTAATCTGAGAACATTTTCATTACCCAAGAAAGAAACCCTGAACCCATTATCTGTCACTCATCTTTCACAAGCCATTAGCAACCTCTGTCTCTATGGATTTGTTTATTCTGGACATTTCATATAATTGGAATCATGTAACGTGGCCTTTTCAAGGTTCATCCATGTTGTAACATGTATCAGTACTTTATTTTGCTACGTATATTGTTTTTACAGACAAATATTAACATTTCATGGCTGAGTCGTATCCCATTGTATGGAAACACCACATTTTATTTATTCATTCACCAGTAGATGGACATTTGGATTGTTTCCACTTCTTAGATATTGTAATGCTATGGAATTCATTACAGGTTTTCTGTGGACACATATTTTCATTCTCTGTACCCAGCAATGAAATTGCTAGATCATATTATAACTGTTTAACCTTTTGAGGAACTGCCAAATCATATTCCAAAACTGGTGTACCGTTTTCTATTCCCACAATCAAGGTATAAGGGTTCCAGTTTTTCCATGTTCTAGACAATATTTGTTATTTTCTGCCATTTTGATTATAGCCATCCTGGGGTTAACGTTCCGGTTTTGATTTGCATTTCCCTCATGACTAATGATTTGAGCATATTTTCATGTGCTTATTGACCTTTAGTCTCTCTAGAGAAATCAATGTTCAGATCCTTTGACCACTTTTTAATTGGTTATTTGTCTTTTTAGTATTGAGTGGTAACAGTTTTTCTATATTCTGAATACTAGTACCTTATCAAATATGTGATTTGTTAATATTTCCCCCTATTCTTTAGGTTGTCTTTTCACTTTCTTCATAGTTTTTTGAAGCACAAAAGTTTTTCATCTTCAGGTCCAATTTACTTATTCTCTGTTTGCTTATTCTCATGTCATATATCTAAGAAACCACTGCCTAATGCAGCTAGATGGAAACAGTTTTGTTATGAATACCTTATGAAACAGCAAAGAAATTGCAAGCATTTTCAATTTTGTCTTAATAGGCTTTGGAAGTGATAAAGCAGTTAAAGGAGAAAATGAAGATAGAACGTGCTCACATGAGACTTCGGTTCATTCTTCCAGTGAATGAAGGAAAAAAGCTGAAAGAAAAACTCAAGCCACTGATCAAGGTTATAGAAAGTGAGGACTACAATCAACAATTAGAAATTGTAAGATTAAAAATTACTTCTCTTCCTTGTGTTAACAAAATAGTTTATTCTCTGATCATAAATGTGTAACCAACATTTAGAAGGTGTGAATAGTAAGACATTCTCAGAAACATCTTACCTAGAATTAGGTAAAAATGTTAAGGTCTAAGTAGAACTAAATTGTAGTTAAACACACATGATTTTTTTGTTGTTTTCTAGTTAAATTATTTATGTTTAAAGACTTACCCAGATTTTAGGTGAGAATATATTTTACAGTGATTCTTACCTTATGAGAAAATAAAAGGCTAAAAGTTGGTCAGCCTCATGGGTTTTTTGAGAGAGAGAGACATTGATTTGTTATTCCACTTATTTATGTATTCATTGGTTGATTCTTGTATGTTCCCTGACCAGGGATTGAACCAGCAGCCTTGGTATATCTGGATGACGCTCTAACCAACTGTGCTACCGAGCCAGGGCACCACAGAACATTTTTAAAAGGCAGCAAAGCCCTAGCCAGTTTTGCTCAGTGGCTAGAGCAGTGATGGTGAACCTTTTGAGCTCGGCGTGTCAGCATTTTGAAAAACCCTAACTTAACTCTGGTGCCGTGTCACATATAGAAATTTTTTGATATTTGCAACCACAGTAAAACAAAGATTTATATTTTTGATATTTATTTTATATATTTAAATGCCATTTAACAAAGAAAAATCAACCAAAAAAATGAGTTCGCCTGTCACCTCTGACATGTGTGACATAGGTTCGTCATCACTGGGCTAGAGCGTCGGCCTGCATACTGAAAGGTCCCAGGTTCAATTCTGGTCAAGGGCACATGCCCGGGTTGTGGGCTCCATCCCCAGTGGGGGACTTGCAGGAGGCAGCCAATCCTGATTCTCTCTATATATATTTTTAAAAAGGCAGCAAAGAGCGCATGTCTTTGATCACCCAATAGCTTCAGACAGTATAAACTCAGCTTTCTGCAAATTCATGTCCCTAGATTT